TAGGATGGAGTATGGAGATGGCCCCTGGGAGGAGAGAACTGGAAAGAACAAGAACAGAGTTGGCAGGGATACTCACTATGCTCCCTGCCTCTTAGCAATGAGCAGAACTGGATGGAGTATACCAGATGGTGGGATGGCAGCACACATCAGTCCCAAGACAGACACACAAGTCTACCCACCCAACCACCTACTCCCAGAGGAAACTGGGGGTGGGGAATTGATGGGCAAGGAGTGAGTGAGAGTTATGGAAGTGGATATAGGAGGTGGCATGAATGCGTGGGAGGTGGCATGGTGGCTTTGACAGCACTGTGGACCATAGTGAAGGTACCACCAAAAAGCAGAGAGGACCTAGAGTATAATGCAGGGCACAATGACCTGAAATAACAGCTCAAATGTAGAACCAGGAGAGGGGCCACTCTCACAGGGTCATCGGGGTCATTACCAGCTCCCACTCATTCCTCTTCCTTTATCTCCACAGAAGGCAAAGAATGGCTGTAAGCACTTTGTATGCGCTTCAGGTGAGATATGCCAATCAGGACACTAGGTCTCTCAGGGTGGTACAGTGGGGAGCTGATGTGTCACACCAGAACCTCCTGGACTTGGCTTCTCGCCTTGTGCATATGTGTAAATAAGAGTCACAGGGGGCATCTACACACGTGTTTAGATGTCTACACGCTCAGCAGTAGTTTACATGTGTCTACACGCTCAGCAGTAAAGCATCACCATCTACACATGTGGCACTTTTAGGCCAGGATAAACTGATTAACTCTACCATATGATAGTATTGCCCAACACAAGTATTATCTTATGGTGGAGTTATTAGTGCACCACAATGCACATGTAGATGGTGACTGGGGCTGGCTGGGGCACGAGAGTGCTACAGCATGGGGGCTGTCTCCCGGCTAGCCCCGCACTGTATCATCCTCAGTTTCCTCATACCTGAGCCAGCCCCTCTGCAGCATGTTGAGCCAGGGCAGAGCAGCTCCAGACTGACAGGCTGACCCCTTGGACTCCCTGCCAGCTGGGGCTGCACCACTCTGGCTCAAGGTGCTGTAGTCCCAGGCACACATATAAACATTCCTGGCAGTGATTAAATTCTGATGCAAATTGCACCAGAATTTATTCAGTCATGCTAATTGTACATGTAGGTGCACCCATAGAGATGTGCAGAAAGCCCTAAGTGTGTGCCAAGCTGTGTCCTGCTGGCTGGTACTTGTAGTGGCATGACGATTGCAAAGAGCCACCCCGTGTGGATATATAGGCTGGGGGTACTATAGGCTAGAGAGTTTTATGCAGCTTTGGCCATGTGGGAGCTCAGCACTTCATTTCCTACTCTGTTCTGAACCTCCCATGCCCTTGCATGCAGGATTTGCCCTTCTGCTGGCAGAGTGCAGAATTCTCAGCCTGGCATAACTGGGAATGGAAATTTGGACAGGACTAGACTCACGGTGGCTGGGCCATACTGTCTGGTGTGACTTCACAGCAAATCACCTATTGCAAGTGATTTAGAAAAACTATGTAATTCCCTGTGAGCTCCTGGCTTCAGGGTGCTCAGTTCCAAAAAAGCCTGTTACTAACTTGACTGAAAGTTGACATTCATACAGGCTCTGATGGGAGAGGGCATGGCTACTGACTGGATTAATCATGACCTCCCCAGGGCACACCCATTACTATGCCCCTGCTAGGCAGACCCCAGGACAGGCTAGGTTGGGATTGGGCATGGGGAGACTATGGGAGAGATGGTCCCCAGGATAAGGGAGGAAGTGCTACAGATTCTGCTGAATAGGGAGGAGTTGTGACACCTGATGCTGCTGTTTTTAGGTGGTAATGCTGGCATGGCAGCTGCCTACTCAGCCAGGAATCTGGGTATTCCTGCCACCATCCTTGTTCCCAGATCCACCCCAGATTTCACCATCCAGCAGCTGAAGGATGAGGGAGCCACTGCTGAAATTGTGGGAGAGGTAGGTGTGTGTATCTAGCAGAGGGAGTGGACAAGAAACCTGTCTGTCTGCGCTGGGAGGCTCAATGTTTCTCAGTCTACCCAGAACCAGAGCACAGCTAGATCTGGAGAGCAGATCACGTTGTGGACTGTGAGGTACATTGCTCTGTACACGTGCCCCCCTGAGTGGTCCCTGCTGAAGTCTCTGCTGTAGAGCGAAGAGACTAAGGGGGGGGGGGGGGGG